AATTAAAACGAAAGTATAAAACTTTAATTACACAACCAAAGAAAGTTGCCTAGATTTTGAACGAAACTGTACGTACGAACTACACCTAAACCCATTAGATTCTAAATCATATATAATAAGTAATAAAGTTCAGCTATAACATACAGCATATTTTTCATTTTCTTTTTTAAATTTCTCTTATCAATGGGTAAAGTAAACATTAGACCTCTTTCGAAAAAAAAACACAAAAAGAGAATGACAATAAAGAAAAAAAAAACACACCATACAAATGAGTTCACTACGAAATACAAAATAGTTGACCAAATATCAAATAAAAAACAACCACAATAGTTTAATACTGCAAGGCAAAAGCTACGGATCTCCCCGGTTAAAAAAGTAAAAATAATATTCTGAAAACATAGAAAACATGTCCGTTGTAGAATTATTGAGTTTTGATAATGTGGTCTTCAAGGCCTACGTTTTCTGGAGTGCAGTGTTGGTCATTAAAATGTTATTGATGGGACCCTTGACCGGCATTCAACGTTTCAAGACTAAGGTAAATTGATAATATGGAAAATTCGGGATTATGTATAGAAAGTGTTGTAACTACTCAATGTTAGTTAATGTTAAAAGGTCAAAGTCTGTTAGTGGATAAGAGAGAGAGAACTATTGAAGTAAGATAATGTGTAGGAAGAGAGTTAAAATTTTAACTGAGATTGTTTATTTTTATGGTGTTGACCGGTAACAGGTGAAATTTTTATTTTCAAATGTTAAGTCAGCATGATGAAGCAAAAAATGGTGGAAAAAAATAATATTTTTTAGAAATAGATGTTTATGGAAGCATTTATAGAAATATTAAAGGCGTGTGTTTGAGTTCCAGTTGCATATTAAAGAGATATTTTTTGTTATGGAGAACAATAAATAACATGAATGTATTGCTGTGCGAGGGTTGTTTTAAAAATTTAGGCTTAGTTAGTTAATTAGTAAGTTATGAGTTAGTTAGTTAGTTAGTTAGTTAGTTAGTTAGTTAGTTAGTTAGTAGTTAGTTAGTTAGTTAGTTAGTTAGTTAGTTAGTTAGTTAGATAGTTAGTTAGTTAGTTAGTTAGTTAGTTAGTTAGTTAGTTAGTTAGTTTGTTAGTTAGTTAGTTAGTTAGTTAGTTAGTAGTTAGTTAGTAGTTAGTTAGTTAGTTAGTAGTTAGTTAGTTAGTTAGTTAGTTAGTTAGTTAGTTAGTTAGTTAGTTAGTTTAGTTAGTTAGTTAGTTAGTTAGTAGTTAGTTAGTTAGTTAGTTAGTTAGTTAGTAGTAGTAGTTAGTTAGTTAGTTAGTTAGTTAGTTAGTTAGTTAGTTAGTTAGTTAGTTAGTTAGTTAGTTAGTTAGTTAGTAGTTAGTTAGTTAGTAGTTAGTTAGTAGTTAGTAGTTAGTTAGTAGTTAGTTAGATAGAGTTAGTTAGTTAGTTAGTTAGTTAGTTAGTTAGTAGTAGTTAGTTAGTTAGTTAGTTAGTAGTTAGTTAGTTAAGTTAGTTAGTTAGTTAGTTAGTTAGTTAGTTAGTAGTTAGTTAGTTAGTTAGTTAGTTAGTTAGTTAGTTAGTTAGTTAGTTAGTTAGTTAGTTAGTTAGTTAGTTAGTTAGTTAGTTAGTTAGTTAGTTAGTAGTTAGTTAGTTAGTTAGTTAGTTAGTTAGTAGTTAGTTAGTTAGTTAGTTAGTTAGTTAGTTAGTTAGTTAGTTAGTTAGTTAGTTAGTTAGTTAGTTAGTTAGTTAGTTAGTTAGTTAGTTAGTTAGTAGTTAGTTAGTTAGTTAGTTAGTTAGTTAGTTAGTTAGTTAGTTAGTTAGTTAGTTAGTTAGTTAGTTAGTTAGTTAGTTAGTTAGTTAGTTAGTTAGTTAGTTAGTTAGTAGTTAGTTAGTTAGTTAGTTAGTTAGTTAGTTAGTTAGTTAGTTAGTTAGTTAGTTAGTAGTTAGTTAGTTAGTTAGTTAGTAGTTAGTTAGTTAGTTAGTTAGTTAGTTAGTAGTTAGTTAGTTAGTTAGTTAGTTAGTTAGTTAGTTAGTTAGTTAGTTAGTTAGTTAGTTAGTTAGTTAGTTAGTTAGTTAGTTAGTTAGTTAGTTAGTTAGTTAGTTAGTTAGTTAGTTAGTTAGTTAGTTAGTTAGTTAGTTAGTTAGTTAGTTAGTTAGTTAGTTAGTTAGTTAGTTAGTTAGTTAGTTAGTAGTTAGTTAGTTAGTTAGTTAGTTAGTTAGTTAGTTAGTAGTTAGTTAGTTAGTTAGTTAGTTAGTTAGTTAGTTAGTTAGTTAGTTAGTTAGTTAGTTAGTTAGTTAGTTAGTTAGTTAGTTAGTTAGTTAGTTAGTTAGTTAGTTAGTTAGTTAGTTAGTTAGTAGTTAGTTAGTTAGTTAGTTAGTTAGTTAGTTAGTTAGTTAGTTAGTTAGTTAGTTAGTTAGTTAGTTAGTTAGTTAGTTAGTTAGTTAGTTAGTTAGTTAGTTAGTTAGTTAGTTAGTTAGTTAGTTAGTTAGTTAGTTAGTTAGTTAGTTAGTTAGTTAGTTAGTTAGTTAGTAGTAGTTAGTTAGTTAGTTAGTTAGTTAGTTCGTTAGTAGTTAGTTAGTTAGTTAGTTAGTTAGTTAGTTAGTTAGTTAGTTAGTTAGTTAGTTAGTTAGTTAGTTAGTTAGTTAGTTAGTTAGTTAGTTAGTTAGTTAGTTAGTTAGTTAGTTAGTTAGTTAGTTAGTTAGTTAGTTAGTTAGTTAGTAGTTAGTTTAGTAGTAGTTAGTTAGTTAGTTAGTTAGTTAGTTAGTTAGTTAGTAGTTAGTTAGTAGTTAGTTAGTTAGTTAGTTAGTTAGTTAGTTAGTTAGTTAGTTAGTTAGTTAGTTAGTTAGTTAGTTAGTAGTTAGTTAGTTAGTAGTTAGTTAGTTAGTTAGTTAGTTAGTTAGTTAGTTAGTTAGTTAGTTAGTTAGTTAGTTAGTTAGTTAGTTAGTTAGTAGTTAGTTAGTTAGTTAGTTAGTTAGTTAGTTAGTTAGTTAGTTAGTAGTTAGTTAGTTAGTTAGTTAGTTAGTTAGTTAGTTAGTTAGTTAGTTAGTTAGTTAGTTAGTTAGTTAGTTAGTTAGTTAGTTAGTTAGTTAGTTAGTTAGTTAGTTAGTTAGTTAGTTAGTTAGTTAGTTAGTTAGTTAGTTAGTTAGTTAGTTAGTTAGTTAGTTAGTTAGTTAGTTAGTTAGTTAGTTAGTAGTAGTTAGTTAGTTAGTTAGTTAGTTAGTTAGTTAGTTAGTTAGTTAGTTAGTTAGAACTCTATCAAGTCTGTTGTGGGAATCGAACCCACGTCCTTCACTTTTGCAGATTTGAACTCAAACTACTAACCTAGCTTAGGCACACCTTGAATTTCCTATTAAACATAATGTTAACGAGTCAATAATGTACGTAGTAAGGACCTGATCTAAAACATAAACTCCTTTCATTGTTATGAAATTCAGAACACAATTCCGATAGAGTTCCAACACAGTTTTGCCCCAGATCAACGGATAAATTCATGTCTTTCCTGTCCTGTCATTCTTATAACTCAACATTATCTTATCCAGTAACTTCCACAAACCATTTCTCGGTAAACGATTTTATCTCTCCAGTCTAGTTATCGATGACTTTTTATATCGTAACCAAATTTCTTTATGATGACACTTCTTAATTCCCTAAATTTTTAGAAGTTTTTTCTGCAACTTGTTACTTTCCTATTTTAATTCATCTTTCTTTTTTTCAGACTTTTGCCAACCCTGAAGATTTGCTATCCAAAAAGGACAAGGTTAAATTCGATGATCCCAATGTTGAACGTGTACGCAGGTAAAGTTTCAAAATCATCAACATTTATCAAACATTTTTATTTATTGTTCTATTTCTTTCCCTCTTCCAGAGCTCATCGCAATGATATGGAAAACATTTTACCCTTCTTTGCTATTGGTTTCTTGTACGTCTTGACCAATCCTGCCAGTTTCTTGGCCGTTAATCTTTTCCGTGCCGTTGCTCTTGCTCGTATTGCTCATACTTTGGTTTATGCCGTCGTTGTGGTGCCACAACCTGCTCGTGCTATTTCCTTCTTTGTTGCCTTGGCCGCTACTGCCTATATGGCTGTACGTGTGCTCATCTTTGCTCTCTAAGATGTTAACATCAGCTTTATGTACTTTAATGTAAAAAGTATTTATTATTTTTCATAATTCGTAGAAGTAATTTTTTTTGTGGTAACAAAATTTTTTTTTAAATAAAAACTATTTTTGTAATAAAATTAAACGAAATTAAGTAACAAATAGTGATTTTGTGGAATGCGTTAAAAGTTTGGGTGTTTCTCCGGTTCCGATTATAGAGCAGATTAGAAGAACTTCTTAGGCCTGCAACTCTTGTGAGTACTAATAGGAACTTTAGAAGAATATAATTAGATCTATTATCGATACATCAAGATCATAAAAGAGGTCAATACAAAGTTGATCGTAGCTCTTCTAGATCAGTTCATTATAAAGTGTTGCTTCAGTGTCTCTCGTAGGAACCTGTTGAAACTTTTAAAGAATCCGATTTGATCTATGAACGCATTCCAGATCATAAAAGTCATCCATACAAATTTGGTCTCGGATCTTCTAGATCGCTTTAATATAAATAATGTATTATGAAGTGTTAATCTCCTCTTTATCCAAACAACTTATGCACTTGTAATTATGGTAGTAATTCAATCATTCCGATATACAGAGCTCGGTAAGTATAGTTACAGGATTGATTAAGTCCCTAACAAAAACCGAGTCACAAGTTATTAAAAATTGCATTCTCTATGTATTTGTATCTGTATCCATATCAGTCTCAGACAATCCCCATTTACACTTAATCAAAGGGATACAAATGTCTTCGAATCTCACAGCCCGATAATCATCATGACAACTGATCAAAACTATAAAAATCATTCCGACTGCACCTTTAATTTAAATGCAAAATAAGTTAAAAGCAATAATTTATTTCTGCTCTTGACTTTAAAAAATCTCTTATCAATGATATAGGGGAAAAAATTAGACCTCTTTAGTAACCCGGGGAAAAATGATAAAACATATCAATCCAAATGAATTAAAATAACAAAACATTTATTTAAATAAATTTCGGCAAACACTAAGGAACCAAAATATTTGGAAAAAATAAAAATGTCCGCTTTAGATTTAATATCATTTCATAATGAAGTCTTCCGATCTTATGTTTTATGGGGTACTATAATGGTTACAAAAATGTTGCTTATGGGACCTCTGACTGCACTGCAACGTTTCAAAAATAAGGTAAATTGATTAGGGATTCGAATTTCTGAGATATTAAAATTATTAGTCGATCCTATTGCAGACCTTTGCAAATCCTGAAGATTTAACATCAAAAGATCATAAGGTTAAATTTGATGATCCTGATGTGGAACGTTGTAGAAGGTAATGTTGTTAAATTTCTAAGTTTTATCTCTTTAAATCAATTTCATTATTTTCAGAGCCCATCGCAATGATATGGAGAACATTGTACCATATCTGGCCCTAGGTTTCTATTATGTTATGACTAATCCATCTGCCGATATAGCTATTATTGTTTTCCGTGCCGTGGGTATTGCTCGTATTGTTCATACCTTGGTTTATGCTGTTTTTGTTATTCCTCAACCTGCCCGTGCTCTTTCCTATTTTGTTGGTTTGGCCGCTACAGTGTACATGGCTGTTCGGATCATGATTTATGCCTTTTAACAAATTTTCTACTTTTAAAGCAAATTATTAATATGTATCCATACATATGTAAATCAGGAATAAACGGTATTATATTACAACAAGTTTCAGAATAGAAATTTGATTTGTGATGCTCTTTAACTCCTATGTTAAGAACTGATACAGAGAGTTTGAAGATGTAGTAGTCTAACAGGAATAATTATACGACTCCAACCTGATAAACCCTTCTCTTTAGGTACGAGTGACTTGGATCCGAAAAAAACTGTTTGAGAGTGGATCTAAAATGTATTATGGCCTCATTATCAGTGTATATTTAACAATGATAAAATTGACCCTCAGATTCTCAGACGAAGTTATTGTTTCTCATATTGGGATCTTAGTGGAAATGGCGCAGTTATTATTGGGTGTTTTTAAATGCTCAAATGTGCTTCAGATTCTCATATGAATACTGTGTGTGGATCATAGCTGAATTGGCACACGGGACAAGTAGTTAGAGATTCCAGTATAGTGAAACATTTTAAAAATGTTCAAAGAGAGTTGGAATATTAGCAGGAATGGCGCTGGAAGTTTTTAAAAGCGCAATTTGTCCTTGAGATTCTCAGACGAAAGAAGTTTTTCTCATATTAGGGTCACGGAACAGATTGTCAGGGATTCCAGTATATTGAATATTTTAAAAGTGTTCAAAGAGACGAGACGAATTCAGAGATGCTTAACTAAACAGATTAAAACCTCAACTATGACACTAATATAAGATCCATAAAAAAGTAATACGGATTGCGGATTATCCAAGAGCACAAAATCAAAGATCATCCAAATATAATCATAGAATAATGAAACGGTGGGTAGAACCACAAAGATTCTATGGTTTGACGCCTAACGAGAACAGGGCGAGTAGCCTTCTTAAAATGAGCATTCAAATAAATGTAGAGCATGTGAAGATGACAGTGAAACTTTGGAACACTTTCAAAATTAGATTCAAAATCTTGGGTGTGATATTATTCGGAATATGAAACGTACACCGATTGGAAAATTCTTAGAAATTACGTCCAGGAAACTGAGTTTCTGAACATCGAAAAATAAGCTGTTTGAGTGATAGATCATAAGCTAGAGTAAACTATTATAATGACCCTGAGAATACTACCATGTAACCCCTATGTGTCCGAATACTCTTACTTCGAAGCTCTTTTTAGAATTTAACATGGTTTTTCAGTCTTGCACTATCATTTGATGTGTAAAGTCATAATTTTCTTGTTACTTTTGATCTGCAATCAAAAAGTGTACGGTATTTTCTTTTTTTTTCAACCAAGTATTTTTGTTTATTGTTTCAAAATAAAAAATAAAAAACAAAATTAAGCGAAGAAACGTAGAAGATGTTGTTGTTGCCTCTCGAGGCCACAGTATGAGTAAGAGACAAGCAACTGCTAGTAGTTCTCTTAGAACTACAAATACAAATTTTTTTACACCACTTCAAACTCTTGATGATGATGATAACGATGAAGTTGTTTTCGAACCAGCTGTTAAGGTGAACATACCACCAATAACAATTTTAAAATGCCAGATTGATCAAATTCATGAAATGTGCAGAATATTGGTCATAAAAGAATATTCAATTCGAAAAATATCAATTGGTTTGAAGTTATTTTGTTCAAATAAAGAAGATTTTGATAAGGTTTGCCTTGCTCTTACCGAAAAATTTCAACTAGAATATTTTACATATGCTCAAAAGAACGAAAAACCATATAAAGCTGTTCTTCTTGGATTGGAGAAAACTGACCCTACAGTTATTAAGGCACAACTAATAAAATTAGGTCTTAAATGCATCAATGTTAAAATGGTGACTAGGTCCGCTGAAGGTAGTAGAGAATATATTATTTTCATCGTCTATTTTGAAAGGAAATCAATTACCCTTAAAGAACTAAGGCAAAATTACTCTGCTATTAATTATATTAAAGTAAGATGGGAATATCAAAAACCAAATAAGTCAAAGTTAACACAATGTTACAATTGTCAGATGTACGGTCACGGATCCAGTAGATGCAAGGTAAAATCATTCTGTGCAAAGTGCGCTGGAAACCATAAAACTGAAGTATGCTCCTCTACAACTATAAAATGTGCGAACTGCAACGGTGATCATAAGGCTATGTCGCCAGAATGCCCAAGTAGAGAACAATTTAAACAAATTCGACAACGATCTCAACCAAAAAGTCCTAGAAAAAGAATTCAAACATTTAATAATGGTACAAACTACAACAATAATTTCCCAAATACTCTTAACCAAAGTATGGGTAATCATTCAAATGCACCTAGAATGAACTATAGTCAACAGTTCACTCAATCCGTCAACAACAATGTTAATAACAATAATAATTTGTTTTCATTTGATGAATTAAAAGATCTTACATTTGAATTAATTTCAAGTCTAAAAAGCTGTAAGTCTCGTGAGGAGCAATTTCAGGTTGTTACCAACCTTGCCTTTAAGTTTTTATATAAATGAACAATAACATCAAGTTAATATCATGGAATGCCCGTAGTATTCGTACAAAAAAAGAAGAACTTTTTAATTTCTTAGTGAAACATAACGTTGATATTTGCCTAATTTGTGAAACTTGGCTAAATAATAAATTATCTATTAGACATAACAGTTATTACTGTTATAGATTCGATCGCCAAACCAGTACAGGAGGAGGAGTTGCCATATTAATTAAGAAAAATATTCTTCATCAACTTTTACCACCAAAAACTACTGAAGTTGTCGAAAACATTGGTGTTAGAGTAAGTTGTGGAAATGACTATGTTGATATTTATTCTTGTTATTTTCCAGGAGGCACCACTGGTTCAGACATCTCCAAACAACTTAAATTTAAATCTGACCTTCGCAAGTTAACAGATACTAACAATAAATACATATTAGGTGGTGACCTAAACTGCAGACATGGTTATTGGGGATGCTTAAGAAATAACAAATGGGGCAATATACTCTATGAAAAAATTCAACTAAACCAAACACAAATATTATTTCCTCATGAATATTCTTATATTCCGGCAGATCCACATAAACAACCATCGACATTAGATTTATTTTTAACTAATATATCATCAAACATGTCAGCTGTCAAAGTTATTAATGACCTAGGATCAGACCATTTACCTATTATGTGTAATGTTAATCTTATTTACAAGTCGGTAGATAACATGGTCTACGCTTTCAACAAGGCAAATTGGACACTTTTTACCAAATTTGTAAATAAAAACCTGCCTACATTAAGTGAACATAATGCAATTTCCAATAAAAATCAAATAGATGACATGATAAATACTTTTAATAATGTTGTAAAAGCAGCAATAGAAACATCTGTTCCCAAAAGGCATACAGCACCAATTATCAAACCACTGCCTAATAACATAATAATCATGATGCAAATGAGAAATGTTTACCGAAGAAATTGGAAAAGATTTAGAGATTTAAACGATTATTATGCAATGTCGCGCTTGAACAAAAATATAAAAAATGAAATAATTAAATTCAGAAATCAATCCTGGAATATAACCTTGTCCAATATTGACAAATCATCTCAGGCTTTTTGGAAAATATCCAAAATTTTAAGAAAGAAATCTAGTAATATTCCGATTTTGAAAAACAATAGCAATATTTACTATACCCAGCGGGAGAAAGTAGAAGTTTTGGCTCATACATTCAAACTGAATCACTCTTCTTCAGCTCATTTAAGTGATAGCGTAACTATTTCTGAAGTTAACAATGTTGCTGCTCAAATACATAATATGAATTATGCCCCACCTGAATCATATTTTATATCCCAGGAAAAGGTGGTTAATATTATTAAAAAACTTAAAAACAATAAGTCGCCCGGTTCAGATGGCATAAATAATAAATGCTTAAAACATCTACCTAATAAAGGTATTAAATATCTTACAAAAATATTTAATGCATGTCTTAGTTTATGTTATTTCCCTTCTACGTGGAAAATTTCTAAAACTATACCAATACTCAAACCAAACAAGTCAGCGGATTCACCTTCATCGTATAGACCTATAAGCTTACTTTCTTCTCTAAGCAAAATACTAGAGAAAATCCTGAAGGAAAAGATTGTTGTTTTCATTGATGATAATAACATTCTACCTCCACAACAATTTGGATTCAGAACAGAACACAACACTACTCAGCCCTTATTGAAAATTAGAAATTTGGTGAAAAATAATTTTAATGTTGGTAAATCAACGGGTATGGTATTACTCGATATAAAAGCTGCATTCGACTCAGTATGGCACAATGGGTTAATATACAAATTAAAAAGACTAAATTTTCCTATCGAAATTGTTAAAATAATACAAAACTTTTTAGAAAGTAGATATTTTAATGTATATCTGGGTAAAACTTCGTCAACGCAAGTTAATATTTCAGCTGGTTGCCCTCAGGGTTCCTGTTTGTCACCAATACTATATAATATATACACAGCAGATGTTCCAGTATTTTCCAATTGCGTCATGTCAATATTCGCCGATGATACATCAATTCTCTGCTCAGACACATATGCAGTTAACATCATCTCCAACCTACAAATCGCTCTTAGTGAGTTAAAGGCATATTTCGATAAATGGAAAATTATGATTAATCCAGAAAAAACTCAAACAATATATTTTACCAGGAAGCGTAATGCTAGATTTATTCCCCAGAGCCCATTACGTTTTATGAATATTGACATACCATGGGAAAACAATGTCAAATATCTAGGTGTTATACTTGATACTAAAGTTAACTTTTACTGTCACATACCTTACATTATTAATAAGATCAACAAATTAATTAGGGTACTGTACCCTCTAATTAACAGAAACTCGCAACTGAATATCGAGAACAAGAAACTTATTGTTAAATCTATTTTTCATCCCGTTATGTTCTACTGCGCTCCAGTTTGGTCGTCTTCCGCAAAATGTCACATAAAAAAGCTTCAAATAGCACAAAATAAATTACTTAAAATGGTTTTTAAACTTCCTTGGCATTACTCTACTCGACGTCTACATAGTCTTGCAGGCATCGAGCTCGTCCATGATAGAATAGCCAAATTGACCACCAACTTCAACAGAA